CCTGTGGATGCAGTATTATCTTGATATACACAAAAGTAGGTTCAGTCATATGGGTTATTCTCAAAACTTACCATAGCCTGACCATGCAGAGTGAATGCATTCAAAAGAGTTGTAGAGGTTTAATTTTACGTTTTTCATGGGGAGGAGAGAGATCAGAGAGTTGATTTTACTTCACTTCATATCTGTCTGAACTTAAATTTATAAAGGTTGTCATTTATCATTTATGAAACCTAAAATTGCTCATATTCTGAAGTTTTTGTCTGAACCAGATTTGGCAAATTAATATTGTCTTTATTTCATGTTATAAGATTGAACAAGTAATATTTCAGCAAGATTTGGATTGATGCTGTTCCTTTTGGAGAAAAATACCATGTTGAGAATTATAACAGAAATATATATAGCTTTTCTTGATTTTAATTTAAGGTGAGGCCACATGGAAAGAGTACTTACCACATCGCTAACCAGAGGAATAGCTTTTTTCTTGCGCAGGTCTGGCATACTGTCAATTCCAAATATTCCACTCCCATTTCTGTGGATATCAACACTTTGTAAAGGAGTATTTTCCACGCTTAATAATTAATACACAGGCAATGAACACGTTAATATAATGTCCCTAACTTCTCATAAATAATTCAGTATTTTCATAAATACTTCCATAACAAAAAAAGAGAAAAAGTAAAATACTGCATTAATAATGCAACTCCTCTTAATCATATCAATAATGCTTAAAGAGAAACTTACCCAGCTTTAATCCAAGCATGTCTTGAATTATCTCCATTTTCTTTGCCCTATGGCATCAAGAACACAGTTTAGATCAATTAATGTGTGCAAGCGAAGTAATAAAACTTGAGCAAAACCTAAGCTAAATGCAGAGGACACATGATTGGTTCAGTTTCACCAAAAGGTCTGAGAAAGCAAACTAAAACAAGACAACCAAAATGACTTTATATTGAAGATGAAGTCCTTGTTGATGGAAATGCTTAAAAATCTGATCCAAATGACTGACATGCAACTCATGAGATCAGAGCAAAATTAATGAAAGGGGAAAATAGAAATCAACTTTTGAAAGTACACTTGTAATGCACAGTAAAAATGGTCAACTAATTGGGGTTAAACCCCTAGGTTTGTTATCAACTATCAGGATAATTATATGAACACACCCAAAAAAAAAATAACACTTTCCACTTGATGACAGAAATGAGTGAAACCCTGACAAACATTCAGCAAACTGTCCCTGTGTTTTCCATCTGAGGTGAACCATTTTTGTTTTACAAAATGGCATGAGCATTCTTCCTCAGATAAATCAAACTACAGCTGGATAGCTGGAGTTCCCCAAGGGCATGCGGTATGTTTCAACTGTTTTAAAAGCAATAATGTAGCAAGACGAAGACCAGCATTTCAAATTATTAATCATTTAAAAAGATGGCAAATCACATTAAAGCAAAACAAAACAGAACCAAACACCACATGTAACCATTAAAAGACAAATCATTGAGTGTTAACGTCAGAAGTCTTCTGTATTTGACAGAAGATACAGCAAATGTATCGCAAGTAGCGGGCGGCCTCGTACATGGATCATATGGTCCAAAAAATAATGCATTCAAATAAACTTTAGATGAAAGACAAAGAAAAACAAAATTTAAAAAATTTAAAAAAAAAATTAAATAACGACTGAGAATTGACCAAAACATAATCACAACCTGATCATCTTCCCTGCTTCCCTCTGTAAGACAGAGCAGGATAATAAAGAAAAAAGAAAAGAACAATTGATAAACAGTATTAAATGAGCAAAGATTCACAGAAGTAAGAAATGTTTGTTCAGCTTACATTTATAACTAACCAAAAACAAAGACAATTTAAAAAAAAATGTTTGTACCTCGTTTAAATTCCTCTTCAGAGAAAGTTTCCTTTGAGGCATTGGCAATCCTGGATAATCTATGCCGATGGCTCTTCTCTTTGAGCACACGTTGAATATTGGCAAGGTACTTCTGGTGGTGAGGGTCTTCAAGGGCAGGTTCATTGTCAAGACTATGCTCCGCCTGTTTTGCATTAACATCTGTCTCTAGTGTTCCTGAATTGGTGCCCTCTGGACTTATTTCCATATTACCTGAGCCAAATGCCATTTGTTGAGCACAAGAATCAACAATCCCTGAACTCAGATCCACATGTTTTGGGCTAAGCTCTGGAATACACTGCAGATTGGAAAGCTTCTGATCTGTTAGAGGTTCCTCTACAGTATCTGAGTGGTCTGCTGCATAGTATTCAGTTGCAGTATGTAATTCCTGCAATTCCTTCCCATGAAAAGAGGCTTCGATGCCTTTTTGAGGAGACACATCTGAAGTTGCGCCATCAATAGGTACAACAGTCTCTACATTTGATTCACCAAATGTGGTGCTATCCTCCTCAAGGTCATTGGATTTGTAGGTACTTGGGATTACTTGGGACTTGGGACACTGCGGTTCAGGTGTATAAAGCTCTGTCAAGGCTCCCCTTAGAGTGGAATGGAAGGTCAGCATGGCTTTACTTATCTTTACAACATCATAGCCTAGATTAGGTGGCTGCGACTCTTCAGTATCCGTATTTTCAGAGTAATCTGGGTCATACTGATCCTCAGACACATCTGGGCAAACCCCTTCAGGCCAGTCTTTCTCAGAATCCATATCACAGAGGCAATGCTCGCAAGAGGAGTGTAGATTTTGGCAACCATCATCATAGTCTGTCATTCCAACAGTTGAACAACTAAGGCTTTGGGATGGCCCGCAACACGATTCATCGGCATATGCGTCCATGGTGTGGTATCCAGAACTCCGGGAGTACAAACAATTTGATGTGCAGTCACAGCCAATGTCACTGACAATTTGATTCTTAGGATGCCTCCAATCTACAACACTGGATGAACTAGATGGGGAGTCATTATGGTTTCCAAACAGTAGAGATAGGTGTTCAGAGCTGCTACGTGATGAATGATTGGTTTCGCCACCATTATACCTGTACCATGTATCTGGGCGTCCAACAGTTTTCAATTCGTCTACGCTGTTCTGGCAGGAGCAGTAATCCTCCTCACTCCATCCAGTGTCTCCACTCCATCCTCCTTCTCCACTCACGCTCAACTGCATTTCCGAACGTCTCCAACCACTGTTCTCTTGGTCAGTCTCCCTAGAATAATAACTTCCTTCTTGATCTCGACTCTTAGAACTGTGACCTGAGGATAAGGAACTAGTGCTTGTAAACTCTTGCCCATAAAGATGACAGTAGCTGGACTTCTTAAATCTGGAACAGGGTGCATCCAAGTTGTCAGAAGTCTTGGTATTGTGTAACTTGGTTCTTCTTGGTACATCTCGGTAATCCGTTTTCACATCCCACCCTGACATGTTCGGTCTGGCCGTTAAAGGTCTACCTTCATTCTTCTCCAATTCTCTATGCTTTATTACTGG